GTCTGGGGTCTTAAAAGCTTGTAAGCGGCCATCTAGGATGCATCAATTGGACCCAACCACTTGGAGTAAAGGAGAACGAAGAACACCAAAGACACAAGGAAAGTATTAGCCCAAGAGACAGAATGGGCCACATAAACCAGACACTTCATCAGCCTGAGACCAGAAGAACTAGATGGTGCCCAGCTACCACCAATGAACTTCCTGACAGGGAACACAACAGAGGGTCCCTGATGGAGCAGTAGAACGATGGCATGCAGAACTCAAATTCTAGTAAGAAGATCAGACTTAATGGTCTGATAGACTGGAGGCGCCCTGGAAGGCATGGCCCCTGGACTCTCTATCAGCCCAGAACTAAAACAATTTCCGAGGCCAAGTCTTCAGGCAGGGATTGGACTGGACTGTGGGACATAAAGTGATACTTGTGAAGAATGTGCCTCTTAGTCAAGTAGATACAAGAGACCAAAGGGGCAGCTTCTGTCCAGAGGTGAGATGAGAAGGCAGAGAGAGTTAGGAGCTGGTTCAAAGTTCATGGGGAATCAGGGGTGGAGGGGAGGAGTGTGCTGTCGCAGAATGGGGTGAGCAGTTGGGGTCTCATAACAATGTATGTAAAAAAAAAAATTTCTGTATGGGAGACTAACTTGAAATGTAAACTTCATTTAATTGCAACAATTAAAAAAAAAAAAAAGAAAAAGAGGAGTAACCTGAGGGGATTGAAAGAACAATGTTCTCCAAGCACCTAGGAAAAACAACAACAACAACAACAAAAAAAAAACCCATTGCCATCAAGTTGATTCCAACTCATAGCAACACTACAAGACAGAGCAGAACTGACGCATATGGTTTCCAAGGAGCGCCTGGTGGATTTGAACTGCCAACCTTTTGGTTAGCAGCCGTAGCTCTTAACCACTACACCACCAGAGTTGCCTTCAAGCGCCTGGGTAACAATATTTCCCCTGAGATCTTGAGGTATTCTACAGATAATACCTTACTTTCGACCATGAATATGCAAAAAGAACCAGGGATCGTTTTCACATCAGGGGGACCTGAAGGGCGTGGGAGAGGTGATCTTCCGGGAGTATCATAGCAGAACAGTCTCGGGGGATTATAGGTTCCTAAAAGTGTGACTCTATAAGGTCAGAACAGTCTTCCTGAGCTCAATATGGCAGCCCAATATGTTACAAGGGCCTGATACTGGTGATAGGATTCACTGAAGAAATGCCACAGATGATTAGTCAGGTGAAAAATCTACATATACTTATTAGAAACACAGCCTCCGTTTCTGGGCAGATGGACAGAGGAAGGGGAAATCTGTTTTAACGGCTGGTAGAAGCACAGCCTCCATGTTAGGTTGTTAGCAGCAATTCCTATTACAGGTGTGACTACATGGAAATTACGAGACCAACTCTTTTCTTACTGAAAGCTCTGGTGCATCCTATTTCAGATAACAGCCTTTAAAGACAACATTTTACTTCCCTTGAAACAATGTGTCTTCCTTGCCCAGAACTGATCTATGCTACAGGAAAGATTAATACTCTAAATGAAGGCTATCAGGCACATGGTCACAAACCTGAGTTGCCTGTACAGGACCTGACTGGAACAGGGAATGCAGACAGTAAATGATGTCAAGCTGGATGCAGACTGGAACATGTATTTGACAGAATATATTTCTATAGGAGTGAAACACAGGGAACTCCTGTCTGTCGGTGGGGTCACAGTAGGTTTCAGACATAGAGGGCAGTTGCTTTCTCAGGATCTGAAGGTTTCATCTCTGTGTTGCGGCTGTAGGACTACAAAATGATTCTCCCCACCCCATTAACTTGTGGTAACCTTGATCAGAAAAGAGAGCCAGGGCCTGGATTAACTTGGGTTCTCACAGGACATTTATGTCTCCAGGGATGTCACAGGGTTGGCTGGAGGGACTTGACTTACTTTCCATTATGTAAGAGCATCTCTCTCTCTCATAAGCTGTGGCAGTGAACTGGCCGGCGTCCACTGATGTCATACAATGCTCAGCACTGTCCAAAAGCAATGACACCAGGTTGTGGTGCCAGATGCCACTTTCTATGCCCAGCTTGTTATGTAGATGTGGATCCTGTAGGGAGTGCTGTCTGGAGAAGCACTATGTCCCTTCCACCAGGAATCATACTGATCCCATTTGCCATCTTGACACCGTTCATGGGTTGGGGAGGCAGTCTTCACATCAGAACCAAGCTGTGAATTAGATTTAGACTCTGCAGTAGGGAGAGACACTTACCTGCAGCAGGTTCCAGCTTGACAGCTCTGAAATATCTCTAGCTAAAAGCAGCATAGGGTGGCCAGCAGGACTTTGCAGCACTTTGCAGCTCCTGGAATGACTCACTCTCTTTTTCGGTATGCTCAGACATTTCCCCAGCCCCACACTCCAACCAGCTACAGCCCCTTAATGACCATGGAGACTCTTCATTGGCTGATGGCCTCACGGCGGGATGGCCCTTATAAGTACAGGATGTCATTTTCCTCTCCCCTTGATGGATAACACACACAGTGGCATGTTGTTGAGTAAATTTGCTAGAGTGTAGCTAAAAGACTTCTATCCTAAATTTTTAGAATACTGCCCAGACCCCACCAGACAGGCTCCTTTGGTTTGCCTCTGAAGTCTGCTCTTCTCACAGGACATGTGAGCTGGCTTAAAGCTGTCTCCCCTGGGGCAGACACAGGTGCCCTCTGACACCTGTCTGCTAGCCTCGGTGGCACAGGCATGTCTGGCAGTGACAAGGACCTCAGAGGCAGAGACGCGCTTGTTGAGCTGGGTGCCAGGAGAAAAGACAACTCCATTCACAGAACAGAGAAGACTAGGAATGGATAAATGAAGGAGCAGCAAATGAAATGGAAAGCCAACAAAAATCAACTGGAGGGGCGAGAAGGAGCCACCCTCAAAGGGAAGTAGAAAGAGGAGGGACAAAGTGCCCGTGTCAGGGGCGTCTGCAGACCCTCAGTGGTCATGCTGTCTCACCTAGTCCCCCTGGTAATGAGGACAGGGCAGGTAGTGCTGCCCCTCCTACAGCCACCAGACCAGTTTCCATCGAGCTGATTCTGATTCATGAAGACCCTATGTGTTTCAGAGTAGAACTGCACTCCATAGGGTTTTCAGTGGCTGATTTTTCAGAAGTAGTTTGCTAGGCCTTTCTTCCAAGGCACCTTTGGGTGGACTCGAACCTCCAGCCTCTCACTTACACTTAGTAGCTTCACTTTGGTGCCACCCAGAGGCTCCCCTGCAGCCACAGTGCTGTGCCAAAAAGGAGAGCTGGCCCTTCCTTGTCCTCACCATTTGCCATCTCTGCCTGTGGCATGCTCTACTTTCCTCAGTATGTTTTAGGATCTTACTTTTCCCTGTATTTTGCTGGTATATTTCCCCCATAAAGAATCAAAATGATAAGCTAGAGATGATTAACATGGACACTTAAAGGTTTAGGAACTGACCCTGCAGTTGGCTCTCTCGACATATATTTCTCTTCCTTCTCACCCCAGTTTTCCTCTTAGTACAGTGTGGTTATGTGTCATCAATTCTGACTCACAGAGACCCTATATAACAGAGTAGACCTGCCCTATAAGGTTTCCTAAACTGTAATCTTTATGGGAGCAGATCACCTGGTCTTTCTCCCGTGGATCCTCTGGTGGGTTCAAACCACTTACCTTTTGGTTAGCAGCTGAGCACTTAACTATTGTGTCACCTGAGGCGTGAGGGGGTGAAGTAGGCTTTCTAAGTAGGGTAAGCATGTTTATTTATTGGAAATGTACCCCTCCTTTCTGCTTGATTCTGACTTGTTAGAAGAAGAGGGAAAGCTGCCTTTATTTCTTCTTACCTCTTTGTGAGTTTGTTTTTCCTTCTTCTGCCTCACTTCTTTCATCTGTAAAATGGGCTAGACGAATATGGCACACCTCACTGACAAGATGCCAGAGTCTACCCTTAAAAACTAAAAAGCACTGCTTCTCATTCTGAAGGACTAGGTGACGAGATGGCTTGGTGCTAAACAAACTTCAACAACCGGTTCAGACCAGAGGAACTTTTGGTGTCTGGCAGGCCGCATGAGGACAGACAACCAAAGCACGCTGATGGTATTCTGAACAGCAGAGGCAATAGTTGGCCACTCCGGCCCAGAACCTCTCTCGCTGTTCTCCTTCTTAGATTTGCCATTTTTGCTGTTTCTCTTTCTCAGCTACCCAGACTTTCTAACTCCTTCTTCCTTCTCTACCTCACATATACCTCTGGACTTTTGTGCATCCTCCCATCACACCCACATTTTTATGTAACAGTTCTGAACACAGACAGCCCTCACACAGTCGTTTGGTGCCCATGCACCTTCAGATAGCTCTTTGATAACAGTGATTGTCATGTTGCCCGGCTGCAGGAAGCTGTGGGGCCCTGTCTGCCATGCCATTCTGTAACTCCTCGTAATGATAATCTGCCCTGATGATGGCTGCAACAACAGGCAGGAAGGGAGAGTGAAAGAACAGCCTGGGCACAAAGGTGGGCTCAATCAGGCCGGGACTCTAATCCCCTGCTGCTGACAGTGTCTGGGTCAGAGCTGGAGAACTGACAGCTTCAGCCACCTGCTTAGCCACTCCCAGGCCTGGAGAGCAGCACTCACCCCTTAATGCAAGTTCCAGAATATGTTAGAAATAGCTCCAGGCATTACATGTTATATTCTTGGCTTACAAAGCATTCACAGGCTTTACAATATTCCTAGCGGTCTTTCCCTTGAGATTTTGCTTTCCTTGAAAAAAAAAAAAAGTTTTATTTCAGGCTTGTTGGTTGCAAATGATGATTCTGGAGGGCAACATTAGAAACAGCTGAAACGTTAGGAACATATTTGTTCGCATGCACCCCCCAACACACACCCCTCTTTTAATCAAGAGGAATTCAGAAGAGGATTTTACAGGAACTCATGTGTAACCCTCTGGAATTGGGAGCTGGCAAAGCTTTCTGTTGCTGGTGAAGTAGGGAGGGAGCCTTTCTTTACCTTTTGTCGTCCTTGTACCACTGGAATTCTGCTGAGGGGACTGCTGAGGCTTCACACTGCAGTGTCCCTTTTTGTCCCACAGGGACACCTGTGCCCTTAGCTTCTGAAATGTATGGTGGATCTGCAAAAAGAAGACATCCAATATCATGTACAAATGCATGTAAGAATGAAGAGCCAGCTTCACTCACTGATTCTGGTCTTCACTCCCTGCCCTACCTCTGCTTACTCACACTGTGAAATCGTGAAACAAGTGTGCCAGAGAATGAAACTGTCTTCAGTACTATAAAATGTACCTGCATTGTTTTCAAAGCAAGAGCTTGGTCTTTCTAGCATGCATTGCTTCTGTCCCCCTCTGTGCAGAGGTGGAATGACCAGGTGTGCTGGCATACTTCCTGTTTAAACTCTTTAACTTGCATAGGATGATGCCAACCCACCAACTCTACAAACCATGGGCTGACAGTCGAAGCCTTTAATTTCCGCACACCAGGTTCTTGCCAGAGTGTATAACCTCAAACTATTCAAGCCCCATCAAAAACTCAGGTGCAATAAATACTAATCAGGGAGAATTGCCTGAAGGATGTACAGATCAGTCATTTTTCTAGGTACTCTAAAATGGATCTCCTAATCAAGCTAGACCAAACTAGACTCACGTACTTGGTCTGCATTCATCTGAAGTCTTTACCAAACTGCCCATGACATTCCAACAGTTTGCATTGGGGGACATTATGAAAAAAAGGCTTAATAAACTTGCTCATCTATTTATTGCAGGAATACTGTATAAGATACAGTTGACTGTATTTCAAAGTGCACTATTTGTGGAGATCCCAAAGAGAAACTTTTCTTTTCCCTCAAGAAACTAACTTGGTTTTAAATCTTGGACATAAATCTTAAATCAGATGATGTTCTCTTCTTCACTCTAACAACTCAAAGCCAAATTCTGGACCTGCAGCTAGCAACCTTGTGATACACATTTTGTGTGCTGATTGATCACTGGCTTTTGATTATTGTCCTATATATGCCTTTCCTTTGCTTCCATTTCTTTATGCTTTAGGTTAATCTTTATGAACTGTAAGTCATCTTAAGTCTTGTTTTTGTTTGTTTTTATTTAATCCAATAACCCATTGCCCTTGAGTTGATTCCAACTCACAGCAACCTGTAGGACAGAGTAGAACCACCCCGTGGGGTTTCCAATGATGTAATCTTTACAGAAACAGACTGCCACATTTTTCTTTCACAGAGTGGCTGGTGGGTTCAAACCACTGACCTTTTGGTTTAGCAGTTAAGCACTTAACCACTGCACCAGCAGCGATCCTTTTTTAATGGAGAGGGTATAAAAAAAAGGTAGCATTGTAATACCCATTTAAGTTTTCTGTGATTGTGCTCTAACCCATGGCCTATTTCCTCACTTAAGTGCTTCATGTTAACTAGGCTAAAATTGTAACAGAAATGGACATATTGAAATGTAACAGGAAATAATTAAGAATGAGTATTGATGTATGCACAATAGCCTTTCCCTACTTCCACCCACCCGCATTTAAAAGGGGAAAGGCTTCTTGTTTGCAGGGTTAGCAATTGGGCACTATTCTGTTGTAAGAATTCACGAAATGGGCACAGCAGAGAAAGAAATTTTAGAATGTCATAAAGAACAGAGTCAATATACATAAAGAGGAACTGAGAGTGGAAAGAATAAGAGACAGAGGAAAGTTGAGTAGGCTGGATATCAGAAGGAATTTGGATGGCTGATAAAGGAGGAGAGGTTGAGAACAGTGGCCTCCAAAGTTTTTGGATTCTGTACCTCTATTAGTAAGAAAAGGAGCCCTGGTGGCACAATGGTTAAGCACTCAGCTGCTAACTGAAGGTTGGAGGTTTGAACCCACCCAGAGGCTGCAGAGGAGAAAAGATCTAATGATCTGCTCCTGTAAAGATTACAGCCTAGGAGACCCTATGAAGCAGTCCTACCCTGTCAAATAGGGTTGCTATGAGTTGGAATTGATTCAATGGCACACAACAAAAATTAGTAAGAAAATAAATTTTGAGATATAGCCCTAATATATGAATGCTTATCTATTTATATTTAAATTATACATATGCCATGTGCATCAACATATATGATTATTAAAGGAGAAGATCGAATTAATATACCGTAAGTAGAAGTTTCGATATTTCCTTTTTACAGCCCAGCACATGGTTTTTGTACCTTTTATGGCAATAACTGGCCTAGAGTGTGAGAGGTTTGGGGACAGCTGCAGAATGTGAATGAATTAGGGGAGAATTTGGGATTTGAAGACAAGTTTATGTAAATTATGCATTGGATACCATTTCATGAGCTTCCAGCAATGTAAGTCAAATTTGGGATTATGTTAAATTACTTTCAGCTATGATTTTTTTTTTAATGTGACACCATGACATCAGAGGTATCAAAAACCAGAATCTGGAATTGTTGCTCTTGGAAGCAGAGCAGGGAAATGGTGATGCATTTGCACCCTGAGTCAGCAGCGGGCTCCGCGGAGTCACTCTCCTGTTGCCGCCCCAGCAACATGGCGGCCTCAGGCACACGCAGGGCAGCGGGCCACTTACAGTTCACAGTGACCTTCACTCTCCGAACCACAGGTGCAGACACGTCATTGGAGGCACTGCACTCGTAGTCTCCCGACTGCTCCCGAGTGATGCCCTGGATTTCCAAGTATTCATCCTCACTCACAAAGCCAACCGCTGTAGGAGAAGCAAAGAGATCTGGTGAGATAGGAGGACAAATAGCAAAGGTATAAACTTAGCAAATAAAGTATAAAATGCTAACATCTGCAGAGAACTGTGCCATTTCAAAGTTCAGACTCCTAGGAATGATGGCAGCCCTCCTTCCTCCTTCTCTTCTCCTTACCCTTCCACCATCAGCTTTTCATCTGTTCCCTAGTGGACCAGCTGAAATGTTTGCGTTGCTGCCTGAAGTTGTGCACAGTGCCTAGAGAATCACTGGGCTTCAAAAAGTGATTAATAATGTTGGCATTTACACCGCCCGGATCTTGCAGAGCAGTCCAGCTCTGGGACCTGAGTATGGCACCTGAGGCGAATATTAACCCTTTCTGGTCTCAAGGTATCAGTTAGACTAAGCCTTTAAGTGTGGACTTGGTGACTGCATCCTTGAAGTACCACCATACATACACGCACACATGCATACACGCTCGTACACATACAGACCACAAAAGGCAGTGGAACTGCAAATATAGTAAATGGAATTTCTGCTTCAGATTTAAACAATCAATTAGACAGGCAGAAATCAACTTGCTAAATGTCCATATGCTACTGTTCTTGGGCACAAGATCCTAATGGCAAACCAACAAAGAGGAGTTCACACTCGATGCCTAGCCACATGGCAGCATGTAGACAGCAAGACATTTAAGGCAAGATGACACAGCTTCAAATCTTATTCTGTCACTTAATCATCCAGAGACTCAATTTCTTTAATGCAGTTTTATGAATAATAATGGCCATGTACCTAGTGGACTTCATACTCGATGTCTGGCCACAAGCATGCAATTATGGGATGACCATGACATTTAAGCTGAGATAACAACATTCAAAACTTCCCTCCTGCAGGAACCCTGAGCCTTAGCTTCCTTCCTAAAGACAATGAATAACAAAAATAATTGTCTGCTTACATCCCAGGAATATTCTGACTCATCAGGTAGTCAAGGCAGGATAATTAGGATGACCATACACTTTATTATGTAAACTAGGATACTTTTAAGAGTAAAAGGGGGTGCTATTAATAATTATTCTGGAGAACAATCATAAGTTGAGACTGCCCAGGGCAATTGAGGTGCATAGGCAGAGTATACATGCAGTTCTGATACCTCACAAGGCTGTTTAGAGAAACAGATGAAAACACACAGACATGAGAGCACTGCGAGAACTCACATGTGCTCCCACATGTCGCTTTAGTTTTTAATCGTGCAATCTGCCTGGATGCAGTTTCAGGTAGAGCGGAGCCACCGTAACACCAGCGGCCCAGAGTCTTCCCTGGATCAAAAGCCTCATGGGAAAGGGAGGAAAGGAACATTTTCCTCCAGGTCCTAACAACTCTCCATGTCACCACATGTTTCAGCTAATCCAGAGCATGAACATGTTAACTGCTTGAAAACAATATAAAACAAAGAAGTTTGTAGGTGGACTTGTGGAATGACAGCTATAATTTTATTGGTTCTGTGACGGTGGTAAGTTCACCATTTCTGTGAAGATAAAGACAGTATCAATAACAACAAACAACAAATCTTGTAAAGATTTCCCACTGTCTCTTCACCGCTGTCCCCATCCTTTGGTCATGCTATATGCCACCATCCAGTAATAAGCCAAACCTGGCATTTCCTCATGAATCTCCATGCTATATGGGACCTAAAATATGTATGTTCAGAAACTCTCTTGCCTCCATTACTTACAGAAGAGCAAATTAACAACCCATATCCATTATAGCAAGGAGGCAGGAGTTACTAAAGTCACAGGAAGAACTAGGAACATATCAATAAGTAGAAACAGAGCCTAAAAGTTCAGGATATAGAGAGGACAATCTGCATTAACCCACAGAGACTCATAGCTTTGTAAGAAACTTCTAATTGTCTCAGTAGACTTTACTATTATTGTTTTCTAAGCATCTTCTTTGTGGAAAAAAAATTGCCTTGATTATAGAAAGGGTGGGGGAAACAGTAAAGGAGAAGAGGTTCAAATAAACGGACACATTTGTGGTTCCTTTTATGTTGTCATTGTTTATTTGGTACCAAACTCCAGCCTACATTTGTCAGCTCTTTCCCTGCTAGAATGCTATAATTACTGTGCAGAGCATCTCGGAGACCAATGTTACACTTAATATTTCCATTAATTTTAAATGGTAGTCCTTGGTACATATGTGTGGCAATGGGTGTCATATTTTAATTAGGCTTGCCCTACACCATATGAAATTAATAAGAGCTCAAATTACCAGTGTAATTTATAAATTAACAGTGCTGCAGCATTAGGAAATAAATTAGCTCTGCACAGCTGTTTCTGGATTGAGCTCCGGTGTCAGAGCAGTGACTGGTAGGACCTCAGGTCTCCTGGGTGATTCTGTACAATACCACCAATGTGAGGAAATGAAGAGACAGGAGGCTTTCTGGGTCTCTTGTTCTAGCGAACGGAAGGCCACACGTGTGTTTTCATTCTGCCGTCCAAACATGCTATTGTGTGATGCAGTTGAGATTAGAGATTTTGTTACATGGACATCCAAATGGAGACATATGTTGGTAGAATTGCAGTCAGACTGAAATGCAAGTTCACAAATATTAGGGTGAGCAAAATCAAGAACTTATCAAGTTTTCTAGGGAAATATATGAATTAATGTCTCGCAGGGATGGATTACCCAATAAGTAAGGTACAAACAGGCTTACTTTTGCTTACTCACTAATCTGCAGTGCCCAATTTCACCTGTTTTTCACCACCTCAATGATGTGGTGAAACCCATGTGAAACCGCACATTACATATTAGTAAGTATACACAATTAAGCCTGTCTGTACTTTGCTTAGTGTAAACTGAAGGGTACCTTGCTTACTGGTTAATCTGGCCCTGGATGTCTGTATAAAATGGCAGCTAACAACAACAATTTTGTATGTTAATGTCAGGAGATCTTAACTAGGGAGAGAACTCGGGTGGGTGTCTGAAGAATTTGGGAAGGCATGTATTCTGTTGTTGTTAGTTTCATCGAGCCAGCTCCAACTCGTGACAACACCATGTACAACAGAATAAAACAATGCCAGGTCCTGCACCATCTTCACAACTGTTGGTATGCTCGAGTCTATTGTTGCGGCCATTGTGTATTTTGAGTGACTTCCTACTTAGGGTGCTCATCTTCCAGCACAATATCAGACATTATTCTGCTATGATCCATAGGGTTTTCACTGGCTAGTTTTTGGAAGTAAATCACCAGCCCTTTCTTCCTAGTCTGTCTTAGTCTGGAAGTTCTGCTGAAACCTGTCCACCATGGGTGACCCAGCTGGTATTTGAAATACTGGTGGTATAAGTGCCAGCATCATAGCAACATGCAAGCCACCACAGTATAACAAATTGGCAGACATATGGGTGGTGGATTCTATTACTAGAGGGAGGGAATTTACACTGAGTCCTCCTGCAAAAAGCCAACGAGGCTTAATTATACTATCAGGTGTTCTCCACACAAAATGTAGAATTATAGAGAAACCACATTGACCTCATTGCTCATCAATTATTATAAGTGTACTTATTGACCAAACTGAGTAAATCATGTGAACAGTGACTATATATAGTAAAATGCTTTGTAAATTTTAGCTTTCATTGTCATTATTTTCTCCTTTGTCCTCACGTACTCTTTTTTTCTCAACTGGAGGCATACATTAATATCATTAGTATCACACACACAAGTAAAATTTTGCTGAATATAATTTAAAAACGATTGCAGCAGTACATCTACAGGGAACTGCCAAAAACTCAAGCCAGATTCAGAAGAGGAGGTGGAATGAGGGATATCATTGCTAATGTCAGATGGATCTTGGCTGAAAAACAGAGAATACTAGAAAGAGATTTACGTGTGTTTTATTGACTATGAAAAGGCATTTGACTGAGGGGATCATAACAAATTATGGATAACATTGCAAAGAATAAGAATTCCGGAACACTTAATTTGCTCGTGTAAAACCTGTACATAGACTAAGAGGCAGTTGATTGAACAGAACAAGTGGATACTGCGTGGTTTAAAAACAGAAACGGTGTGTGTCAGCATTGTATCCTTTCACCATACTTATTCAATCTGTATGCTCAGCAAATAATTCGAGAAGCTGGACTATATGAAGAAGGAAGCATCAGGATTGGAGGAAGACTTACTAACAACCTGTGATATGCAGATAACACAACCTTGCTTGCTGAAAGTGAAGAGGACTTGAAGCACTTGCTGATGAAGATCAAAGACTACAGCCTTAAGTATAGATTATACCTCAACATAAAGAAAACAAAAATCCTCATAACTGGACCAATGAGCAACATCATGATAAACAGAGAAAATATTGAAGTTGTCAAGGATTTCATTTTATTTACTTGGATCCACAGTCAATGCCCATTGAAGCAGCAGTCAAGAAATCAAAAGATGTATTGCATTGGGCAAATCTGCTGCAAAAGGCCTCTTTAAGGTGTTAAAAAGCAAAGATGTCACTTTGAGGACTAAGATGCTCCTGACTCAAGCCATGGTATTTTCAATCACCACATATGCACGCAAAAACTAGACAACGAATAAAGAAGACTGAAGAAGAATTGATGCCTTTGAATTAAGGTGTTGGCAAAGAATATTGAATAAACTATGGATTATCAGAAGAACAAACAAATCTGTCTTGGAAGAAGTACAACCAGAATGCTCCTTAAAAGGGAAGAGGGTTAGACTTCGTTTCATGTACTTTGGACATGTTATCAGGAAGGACCAGTCCTGGAGATGGACATCATGCTTGGTAGAGGGTCAGCCAAAAAGAGGAAGACTCTCAATGAAACTGAATTACACGGTGGCTACAACAATGGGTTCAAATGTACCAATGACTGTGAAGATGGTGCAGGACCAGGCAGTGTTTTGTTCTGTTGTACAGAGGGTTGCTATGAGTCAGAACCAACTCAATGGCACCTAACAACAACAGAGGCATACATGATAAAATCAGAGAGAAAGACAATCTGT